AATATCTAACACTGGATAATTTTCCTTAGTTAATAAATAAACCAGTATAAGGTTTTTGTCTCATTTGTTTAATTTGCTTCTCTTCACCTATTTTTAGGATGTAATGATGTTTTATTGAGGATAATGCATAACCAAAGCAGCATTTTTTTTTGTCTAAACAGTCAAAAGGAATCCACACTCCAGATCCAGAGGCCTTTCATTCAACACCCTCCAATGATGATGTCAGCCATACTTGAAACCACAAGCAGACATGAATATTAAGATGACTGTGTCATTTATAACTTTAACACAGTTTCTGACCATTTGTTTAACAATGAGTCAGATTACTGTGTTGCCATTCAAGCATCCCTGAAAGATATTGAAGGGCACTTTGGACCTGTTTCTGGTGTCAGTGCTGCTGATGAAGTCTCCACAGTTCTATGGAATCCACATGAACTGAACCCTTTCTAGGTAATGTTTAACACTAAGTTCCTTTTAATAATCATTCCTTTTTACAATGTATACACAGTTAATGTTAACAATAAAGTTAACAATGTGGACTAGCTCTGTTGTCTACCACATTTACTCATCTTATAAATTATCATGATGCAGCATTCAGCTCTGACTGAAGAGTCTTTACCCTCAAGCAATCTTCTGCCATCACCAGAACTGTCTGAAAAAGAGGTCCAGTATGCAAAAGTGAGACATGTAAACATTGTCCACGATGGCCATAATATCTTCACAGACCCCAGTATAATGAAAATGACCTTAAAGTTAAGTTTTGATGACCTTAAGTTGAGTTCATCAATGAGAAAGCTGGGGACAATGATATTTGTCAAGAGAAATGTACTCTGCTTTCTGGGAGCATTTTATGGAACAGTGTGAGGGAGAGGATGAACCCAGGTTGTGACCAGATTGTTCTGAGAGGGAGTGGCAAGCAGTTGGAAGAATTTGGGTGAAAGGATACTTGGACCGTAACATTAGGCAATCACCAGCATTTATTCTTGCACACTGTCAGGGGGTCAGTTTAATGGATGAAGAACATTTGATGATGTCAGATTTGCCAGATATCTCTGTGGCTCTCTCTCTGATGGCTGAAAAAAGCCCTACATGAATCTCACTGAGATCACATTGTCTGCCCCCTAAAGAAAACATGCAAGCTGCAATTTTAACAATGGATCACAACGTTCTGCTACAAGAGCCCAAATTCATAATTCACTGCTTTTACTCCAGCATGCAAAATGCTGTACTGAAATTGACAACCAAAGACAGCCTAATGGAATTGTGAGTCAAAAAGAGCAACTAACAAGAAAATGGCACCAATGATTAAACCATCAAAAGAATCCCTAAACCAACAGGAATAACAGACCCTCAATCATTTGCAACGGTAGTTGAGGATCATTGATCTGAAAAAAATGGAAAACATTTTACTTTTCGGCACAGAGTCCACTGTGTTTTACCAAAACAAAATTGAAGTTACCTTTAATAATTTGTGTGGTTTGAGTCTTAGACCTGTGGCATGCACATATGGAGCCATTCTTGAGATACCATACAGTTAATATCCAGAGTTCCGTGTAGAACTGGACAGTGTCCTCTCTGGTGATTGCTTTCCAATGGATATTTTGTAGTGGGTATTGTGAATTTTGTGCCATGCAATGGGTATTGTGTGTGCACAACAAAAATACTTTATTTCTGTAGAATCTGTAGATTTATATTGTTTTGCATTTTCAGCATATAACTATATCTTAAGTAGCTGTTAAACATAAATAGTTGAACATGGACTTTGCTTTTGGTGTAACGTTTTCCTGGTAAAAACCAAATAGCAAGTTTCAAAAAAGCAGTATGATGTTTGTGAGTTAATGCAGTTATGTCACAAAAGCTAACCCTATCCATGTTAATTTACAGTTTTATTGGAGAGCCGTATTTTTTTTTATTGGAGAACAGAGCCTGTATTTTCATGTATATTACTTATTTGTTAGTTTCATTGTTACTGTTATCCACCCTTTTCTTCATATTAGACACACAGTTTCACTGTTCCATGTTTATTGTAATGGAATCTGGTTGTTGTGTTGGTAAAAATAGTTATGAAACCGCCTTACTTGTTTCCAAAATATGTTGTTGGGTAATAATGAATGAATGAAGGGCAAAATGAGTTTGATTTATGTACATACCATTTAATGCTAACATTATTTTCTTAAACTGCTTTCAAAATGTTAGTATCATGCATATGTTGTAGCCATCTGTTTTAGTTGTGACCTATTATGGAGAAAGAACTTTCAAGCCTTGTCATGAGCAGAGCAATATTCAATTTAAAAAAATGTGTTGCACTGTACATTCTTATCCTTTATTGTTTTCTTTTTTACCTATTAATGTCTTATCAAAGTAAAACTGACCAAATACGTATTACTGTCATTACTCGAATTTAATATCATAAAATGACATATGGTAAATCCTAAACATTTAAGGAATACAGAAAAAATAACAGTTAAGGAAAACTTGGTAGTATGTTTTCTTTCTTTCTTTTTCTTTCATTCTTTTTTAAGCTGTTATTTTCAGCATCTACATCCATCACAGAACACCAGTGTTGCAACTTTTCTTGAATACAGGTGAAAATCTGGCATTTCGTAGGCATCAGCTGGTAGATGCAACTGTAATATATCCATGATGGTAATGTTACAATTATATCTTTGTCACATGTAACTGTTATCAGTAACGCTATTACTACATAGCAATAGATTGTCTTTTTCCTCTGGTACATGTAGACATCACTTCTGTTGTATTATAGTAACGCAAACTTTAAATCAACTTCTATCGCCACAGTATATTAACAAGAGGATCAGATCTCATTCCTCAAATGCAGGTACAAATCTAGTGCTTGGTAAGCATCAGCTGGAAGATGCATCTGTAACTCCATCATCAAAATGTTACAGATATCACAGATGTCAGAGTCACACAGCACAGCTGGTCGAAATGGGCAGTCAAACTGACATAGCTCCACTTCAGCTCTTTCCACTGGGATCAGATAATCATCAGTTCTGTAGAGTTCTGGGAACACGTACATCACACTGGGTCGACCACTGGGTACCTTGTCATTCTTCGATGGTCTGATTATGGCAATCCCACATGCAGCAAGTCTCATTTAATTCATCCTGGAATTACATAAAAAATTAGCAGGAGTCCAGAGATAGAGGTTGGTATCTGTAGGTCTGAGAAAAGTTATGATCACAGGGTTTGAAAATAAACACACAAACTTGTTATTGAGCAAATAGGTCTTCAAAATTAAGTCCTATTGTAAAGTAAGGTAAAGCAACAATTAAACAATGAGAAAGGCTATGCTCTTTACTGTTTTATCTAAGCAATATTAATTGGCAAGAACAATTTTAATTGTGCAATGCCCAGCCAGTTATTTTGACTAATAAGTCTTGAAGTATGTTCACATACATTGTTGACAGGTTCGAAGGAAAATCTATATTTATGTGTGTTTTTTTCAGCTGAAGATAATCAATAAATTATCAATGTGGAAAAAAACTTTTTTATTTGTGAATTAGTGCATTCTCCAGATGTTGCCATCTCCTTGTTTCTTAATGAAAACATAAATCTCTTAAACGTTTCATTTTCCCTTTAGTATAAAATGGAAAGAAACTATCCACACTAAATACGAGTGTCACATGCAGAGGCATTAGAGTTGGGGGAATCATGGATATTAGTTACCTGGGGCCCACACTGGAGAGGGGGACCTCACAAAATTTGGAATACAAAGCCAATTTTAGTTTATAATTTTGATAATCTATTAGGGTAATAAATAATGTAATATTCTATTGTTGTTCTTTCAGCTGCTCCCGCTAGGGGTCACTACAGCAGCTCATTGGTCCACATGTTGGTCCAATTGGTCATTGGTCCACAGGTCTTATGCCAGATGTCCTTCCTGATGCAGCCCTCTCATATCATCCAGGTTTGGGACCAGCACTACACTCACAGTGGCTGGGTTGGTTCCCTGCGCGGGAATCTAACCCAGGCCACAGTGGTGAGAGAGCAGGATCCTTAACCACTAGATCGCCAGGGACAATATATAACATAAGATCAAAGGATTTTACAATGAAACATCTCAAAAGCTGTGTTTGGTGATTAATTAAAATAGTATTATTGTGTATTTTGTTTATAAGCTAAATATTATCAGGCATTGAATTAAACCATCCATTATCCAAACCTACCCCAGTGATCAAGGAAGGATGGCCCACAAGAAGCACAGAGTCCAGGGCACAAAATTTTGTGCTACGCCCCTGCTCACATGTGCATGCATTAGGCCCTGAAAATGCGTTTTAGCGAGTTTCAAGGTGATACAGGTTCAGAAAAGCCATTTTTCGTGCAAACACATATGCATGTGTGGGGCATAATTTTAATAGAGGTTTTTCCCCATTATTATGATCATATTATTATGATGGAAAATGACATAAAACATGGTTGCTTATATTAAAATTCATATTTTGATAATAAAGAGTTAATATGTCAAAAATGTGGTAAATAATGTGTAGAAAGGTACTTTTTTATCAAATATGCAGGAGCACACTGTATTCTCAACAAATGCCTATGTGCCTACACATGTACATGAGGCGCTGAAAATGAGTGTTAGCAAGTTTCAAGGTGCTAGGGCTTCAGGAAAGCTGTTTTTCATGTGACCACATGCATGCATGTTGGAGTTATACTTTTAAGAGCTGTTTTTCACATTGTTATGATATGAAACATGATTATTTAGGAAAGTAACCATTTGTCTATATCTATGCTGAAGGATTTGCAGTGGACAACTGTACTGCCAAAGAGAATGCTATTTATGTGATATTAGATCATTATTTAAAACTAAAGTTGTTGTTCTTTAGGCTGCTCGCCTTAAGGGTCGCCACAGCAGATCATTGGTCTGCATATTTGATTTGGCACAGTTTTGTTTCTTTTTTTTTTCAACATCAGATGCAACCCTCCCCAATTTTACCCGGGCTTAGGACTGGCACTGAGAGAGCACTGTCTTCTGCCCTGGCTGGGAATCAAACCTTGGCAGCGGCGTTGTGAGCGCCAGGCCCTAACCACTAGTCCTCCAGGAATCTTAGTTAAAACTAAAGTAACAGTATTTACATGAAATATGCATGTTTTAGACATGTCCACAAATGAGTCCAGTCAGGTCCATGCAGCCCCAACCTGTGTAAAGACAATGGCGAGTGTGAGGTGACTGCAAACTCCAGACAAGGAGACATGTTTAATGGCTATCTTTGCAAATGCCAGGGTGTCAACTGCCAAATAAGTGAGTGTACCATCTTGTTATAGCAAACATGTGTACTGACCATGATGGCCCCAGTACATACAGAGGCACTCGTCTTGCAATTTATAATTTCCCTTCCATTTGCCAAATCACTGTAAGCCATGTTTATACATTCCCAGCCAGGGCAGAAGACAGTGCGCTCTCAGTGCCAGTATGTCAAGAGATTTGTACTCTGAAATGCTTGTTGCTCAGGTATGTAACTAACTAACAACAAATTTTTGCAAAACCTCAAGCATTTGCAAGAAAGTCTGGGATTTTACTCAGTAAACATGGCCAAGGACCACTAACTTTAACATAAGGAGGCAATTTGACTGACAAGGCAAATGACCAATCAGCCCTTCAGCATCCGTGTGAGATCATCATTTACTCACCACTGATTGCTTTAAAAATCTCTGTTTAAAATAACTTTTAAATACAGAATTCTGAAAACCTTTTTTTTCCAGTCCAGTGTATCTTGCTCCGAAAAGCTTATTGTTTTGTGGTGATCAAAGATCATTTTTTTGGCGAATGGAAGTGCATAGAAGTACAAATCAGACTGCAACCTTCAAGATTCCGAAGCTTGTGACAAAAGAAAATGTACAAAAGATATTAGACGCTCTGTGGCCTGTGACTACAATGACTCAGTAGCTCTCACATATGTTCATATTCGAGACCTAATTAAGGACGTTCCTATATCAAATTACATGGTTATCACCTAAATTAGTTAAACTGGCCCTCAAATAATTACTTATGTTGTCTGTGCAATATTTATTATCCTGGTGCTGAAGAACTGTGTATGTTCTAAGTACGTCACAGCGCTGCAGAAAATCAACCACAAAACAAAAATACAAAAGTACAAAAATAAGTACAAGTACAAAAATAAGCCCTCAATCTGTCAGTCAGGCACTGTGATTTTTTAAAATTTATTATAATCACACTATACATACAGTATGTTATATTTATTAAGTGTAGCAAGCAAAGTAAATATATTTATTAAAATGATTATTAATTTTGAAAGGCAGGTTTTTCCTAGCGTCACACTTCATTTTTAATGAACGGCAGCCAGCAGAGGGCGGCAGCAGCGAACAGTGAGCGCGGCCATTCCGGAGAACTTAGTTACCCAGAATCCTCCAGGCTGATTAACCTGGACTGCCTGCACCTGCCAGGCACGATATTTACGGCCCATATGAAGCTGTTTTTTACTGCACCTTTGTAGAGGGGTGATCGGTACGGTATGGCAGGGCTTTGCTCGAGATTGTACTAAGTGAGAGAGAAAAAGAGAAATAAAAGACACTGCAAAGAGAAAAAGAAAAGGAACCATGGATACCATGGATGTAATGCCAGTCCATCAGAGGGCACCATTCACACCATCCCTTATTCACACCTAAGGGCAATTTAGCACAACCAATCCCTCTATATTCATGTTTTTTAGAGAGGAGATAGGAAATTTACATGGACATGGGGAGAACATGTTAAATCCACACAGAGAGTAGCATGAGCCCAGGATTGAACCGGAGGCCACCCTTCAGGATCTTATACCGTTCTCAAATTATCTAAATATGAATCATATGTTTCATTATTGCAGATAATGAAAAAATTCTAGCCAAGAATGGTCTTCACTAGTGATACCACATTTCCTTATTCTGTGAAACTGTACAGACCACTTGAAATATGGTCATGAGATGAGTGAAAGTAACATCTATAAAGAAACAGGGATTTTCATTGTACAGAAGGTACGGGGGTGTGGGGGACCGAGATGAGCATGAGGACCAGGAGGGGGTGTGTGGCCCTGGCAGTCTGCACCATTGTGCACTGGCCCACAGACCACATACCACAGCTCAGTGAGAGAGAGAGAGAGAGACAGACAGAGAGGCAGAACTGGTCTTAGAGAGAGGCTTTACAAAGTCGACATCTTTGTAAGACTTGGGTAACATCTGAGATTATGAGTATATTATGGAGATGTGTGTTCAACCTGTTTTACTTTTAAAAATACTGACTGACTGACGAGGGCATGTCCTTTATGTCACGCACTATATGAATTTTTAGGGATTAAATTGATTCACACCAGTGTTTACCATCAGCAGACATATGGGCTGGTCGAACAGTTTAATCAAATGCTTAAAAATATGATTTGTAAGTTAGTTCATGATGATGCTCAGAATTGGGATAAGTGGCTCGAACCTCTGTTGTTTGCAGTGCAAGAGGTCCCACAAGCCTCCACTGAGTTTTCCCAATTCAAATTATGGTAGCCTCGTGGCATCTTAGACATCATAAGGGAAAATTGAGAGGAGGGACCTTCTAACAGCAAATACAAAATTCAGTATGCTCTGGACCTGAGAGCAAAACTCCACACCTTAAATCACCTTAGCCATGAGAATTTGCATCAGGCCCAAGAATGACAGTCCCGACTGTACGACAGGGGTACTCGGCTATGGGAATTTGCACAGGTAGGTACTCATTTTACTCCCCATGTCAAGCTCTAAATTACTTGCAAAGTGCCAAGGAGCCATTGAGGTCACACGCTCGAAGTCGAGTCGAAGAAGTAGACTATGAGGTCAGGCAAATAGATAGAGCCGATGCACATCAAATATGCCACCTCAATCTCCTGAAACAGTGGAGAGAAGCGGTTCCTGTGGCTCTGGTGATGGTGGTTCCTGAGAGGAAGGACCTGGGACCAGCCCAATTCACCCCAGTCCCCTGTGGGACCACCTCTCACTGTCCCAGAGAGCACAGGTTGCCAGGTTGAAATGGGAACTTTTCATCTCTACTTGGTCACGCAGACCTTACAGAACACCACACTGAGGCTCCTCCAGGTGTAGGTGTACACAGTTGCCCATATTGGTTACCTGAACACAAAACAACTGTGGTTCGGGATGAACACAAGGCTTTGCTTATGTAATCAATGAGTCCCACGGTGATTGGAATAGCCTGGTGGTCTTGGTGCCCAAGGCTGAGAGGTCAGTCCGTGTTTTGTGTGGACTTTAGAAAAGTCAACGAGGTGTCTAAATTTGACTCAACCTGATGCCTTGCATTGATGAACTGCTCAATTGGTTTGCTTTTATTCAACACTGGATTTAACCAAAGTGTATTGGCAGATTCCCTTGACTCCAGTATCCCGAGAAAAAATGGCCTTTTCCACTCTGTTTGGGTTACACCAATTATCAATTATTATTACCAGTTATACCAACCATCACCTTACAACCAAACCTTCCTTTTGGTTTGTTTGGATCCCCAGTGACATTTCAACATCTCATAGACAAAATACTCTGCCTGCATTCTGCAAATAAGCATCTGCATGCTGCTGCTTATTTAGATGATATCTGTTTCAATCATGCCCCACTCCAGTGACTCCACTGCATGAAGGTTGCCAACACACAGATCACTCGTTGGTATCTGGCACTTCAGCCGTTCAAATTCAAGGTGGTCCACAGACCGGGAGCACGGAATGTGAACTTGAACTATGAACTGGAACAGGGCAAAAGCCAAGAGCTAGTGATAGCCCCTTTTTCGGTTGGTTGATTTTTTTACTGAGTTGTTGAAGGTTTGCTGAAAAGCATGGTGCAAAAAATTACCAGCCCAGAGTGGTGCTAAAATTCCAACTGTCTCCCAATTCTTCCTCTGGACAAGGGTAACCCTGGTGTGTAAGGACACACCAGGGTTCTACAGCATGCTTCCCAAAAACTAATGCATTACTATGCTTATACTGATTATCATATTATAATGCTTCCATGGAAACCTTGTTAGTGTAATTATATTAATGAATATAATTAGTAGTATTACTGAAAGTTATGTACCTAGAGAATATGGCTATCCTAATGCTTCGTTGCATTATGTTTTATGGAGGCTTTTCCTCTTAAGGTTGAGGGAGTGCTATGAATGCTTTTCCGTGTATTTTTCATTTGTGATTAGTTAATGGATCATCCACAGTCATGTCAGTGAGCAACGCAAATCTGGTCAATGAGAAACCTATTGAATGAAACATCAATGCTTTTGTTGACCTAAATAATACTTGTATAATTGATTATATATTAATCAATTTTTGAATAAATCATATCGTCTTTATATTACCCTGATTTCTGGGTTACTGTGCATAAGTACAGATGATTGTGAGAAGGGTATTAGAATTTTTCTCTAAAGCCTTTAGCATTTCTGAATCTACACCTAAGTCAGTGCATGAATTGTAATATTGAGATGTAATATTTGCTTGGTAATGGTAAGATTAGGACTTAGAATGACATCTACACATCCTGAGATTGTGATACAGTGGTAAAACATTGAGAAAGGTAAATAGGGCTCTTCTTATGCCTAAATGGGAGTTAGTATGAGTAAGGGTTTCCTGGGTTCTTGCTAAGTAATTCCTACAGTTTATTTAGAAAAACCAAAACTTTGTAACAATATGCAACTTACTGTATATATTTTATTACAACAGACATATGTTAATCAGGCATCTGTGTTCATTTGCATATCCATTTTTAGGTGATTATTGCATTGTTTGCCTAAAAGTCTGTAAATATTGTGTTGTAGTAAAACTGCTCCGATGAGTTTTAGAATTGTTATTGCTTAAAATATATTACTACAGTATGTGTTTCTTAAATGTATAGTTCTTTTTCTGTAGCAACATTGCTATAAATAACTTTATTTTTTGGGACATGATTTACAGAGATTAAATCTGCTATTTATGCCTTACTGCCTTTTAGCTGGACTTGGAGAAGAATCATAGGCATCATCACTTAGGGAGCAAAAGACTTTGGTATTATGCAGGTTGTGTCTGCCTTTAAGATTGCAAACAGTGATGACGGCCGGCCG